GGAGCCCATCGCACGGGGCACGCTGACATCACTAATTGGAATACATTCAGTTTAGCGCCCCGTGCGTTCCTTAATGGTGTAGTGCCCCCCTGCAGGGCCATAAAGAGACACCAACTTCTGTGATTTTGTAGACAGAGGTAGCTGAGGCATTCAGTTTGCAAGGGTCACGCAGCCAGGATGCTTGAGGCTGGGCCTGGAACCCAGGGAGCTGGCCCTGATCTGTGTTGTGAATGCCTTGTGTGCCACCAGGGTGGCGGGGAGGTGGCAGTGGAGGCATGAGGATGGCTGATGGCCATTTCCCACCCCCAGGCCCTGAGGATCGTCCTGCACAGCCTGGACCTCCGAGCCAACTGCTACCAGCGCTTCGTGGTGCCACTGCTCAGCATCAGCGCTGACTTCTATGTGCGTGTTTTCGTTCGTGTCTTCACCGGCCAGGCCAAGGTCAAAGCCTCAGCCAGGTTAGTCTGGGGCAAGGAAGAGTGATGAATGGAAGGAAGCAATGGGGCCTTTTGGGGCATTGGGAGGGCGGGACATGATGCTACCCCAGGGAAATGGGGGTCCAGATGGGGATGAAGTCAGCCCGAGGGAGGAGTTGGGGTGTAGTAATCACGCTGGGAACATGGGGCCACCCTGTTCCCCCACAGCAAGCAGGCACTGGTATTCCAGTGTGTGGGCTGCGGGACCTTCCACCTTCAGCGTCTTGGCAAAGCGTCGGGAGCCGCTGGTGGCCGGTGAGCAAGGGTGAGCCGGGAAGGAAGGTGTAGGGGGAGTCCCAGGGTCACTGTCCCCTCCCACCACCCTTGTCTATCTGCAGGGTCAAGTTTTCTGCAGCCTGTGGTCCCCCGGTCGCTCCGGAATGTGAGCACTGTGGGCAGCGACACCAGGTGAGGCAAGGGAGAGGAAATGGGGGGAGGGGGGCGGCACCACTAGGATCGTGGTGGTCTTGACCCCTGGCCATCTGGCTGCCATGCGTGTGTGTCTGTAGCTTGGCGGTCCCCTGTGGGCAGAGCCCATCCATGACCTGGACTTCGTGGGTCGTGTCCTAGAGGCTGTGAGCACCAATCCTGGCCGCTTCCACACTTCGGAGCGCATCCGAGGGGTCTTGAGTGTCATCACTGAGGTGGGGGCTGGGCCACGACGGGGAGGGGGTGGGGGGCTCCACCTGTGCCCCAACATCCCTCCTCCATCTGCCCACACCCATCGTGTCCCCCCTCGCAGGAGCTCCCGGACGTGCCTCTCTACTACACGCTGGACCAGCTAAGCAGCACCATCCACTGCAGCACGCCCAGCCTCCTACAGCTGCGGTGAGGGTCTCCCGGGTGCCCTCGGGCAAGTCCAGAGCCTCTCAGGCCAGGGTCTCCCCATAAAACAGAGATCCAGCGTGCCTCTGCACGGGAGCTGGGAACACAGCTCGGAGGCTATGAGCCTTGGCGAGGGGGGACAGCCTTATTCTTACGATCACTGGCATTATGCAGGCCACGCAGCCCCCGTGAGACGTCCAGCTGTACCGGTCCAGTCGAGTGGCTCCCACCCACACAGGTTAGCACTGGCTTTGGGGTCCGGCCCCCCACCCACTGTGCTGACCGCGGCCCCTCCTGCTCCCCAGGTCGGCCCTCCTCCACGCTGGCTTCCAGGTCTCACTGTCCCACGCCTGCAAGAATGCAGTGAAGACAGATGCCCCCTCTTCGGCCCTCTGGGACATCATGCGCTGCTGGGTGAGGGCTGGTCTGACCGGAGGGTCATGGGCAGGCAGGACACGGTCAGGCCTGCATCCCCTGACCTTCGAGCTTTGCCTCCCAGGAAAAGGAGTGTCCAGTGAAACGGGAGCGCCTGTCAGAGACCAGCCCAGCGTTCCGCATTCTCAGCGTGGAGCCCAGGTACGGGCACCACCAGGGCCGCCCCAGGCAGGGGAAGCCCCGTGCGTGCAGACGACACAGATACTTCCCCACACAGACACCTGCCACCTGCTCGTTCGAGTGAGACCTAGAATCTTCCTCCTTGCCCTCCCCTTCTGCCCCCACCCTGGTCTGGGCGCACCACTGCCCACCTGCACCCCCGGCCCCCACCCTCTCCCCACCCAGTCTGTTCTCCCCACAGCAGCGAAGGTACAACCAGTGAGCACCTGAGTCAGATCACGTCTGCCCTGCGCTCAGAACCCTGTGCTTCCCACCTCACTCACTAGAGACCAGAGTTCTACCTGCAGGCTCTGCAGCATCTGCCTGACATCTCCTGTCCTCTGTCCGGCTCTCCCTGCCTCACTCACTCCGTCCTGGGCCAAACTCCCCAGGCGCAACCCCACCCAGCCACCTTTATCAGGGCTTTTCTTCCCTTTATCCTGCTCCATTTTCTTTCAAAACCCTTACTCGTGCCCTAACACCATATCATTTGCATATTTCTGATCCATCCCACTGTCTCATGTGCTAGAACATGGGCTTTACCACTGGCAGCAGATTTGAGGCACCACAGAATAGACACTTGCTAAATGTTTATTTAAATGGATGAGGGTCAGGACGCCTGGGTGGCTCAGCGGTTGAGCACCTTCGGCCCAGGGCATGACCCTGGGGTCCTAGGATCGAGTCCCGCATCAGGCTTCCCTCATGGAGCCTGCTTCTCTCTCTACCTGTGTCTCTGCCTCTCTCTCCATGTCTCTCATGAATAAATAAAATCTTTTTTAAAAAATAAAAAAATAAATGGATGAGGGTCCTGACAGGCAGACGCAGTCTTCTCGAAGCTCATGGAGCTGCACTGCGATTGGCAGGTAGTCTGTGCACACCCGCAGGCTTCTGCCCCTCAGCCCCGACTCCCGCTTCCCACTTCCCCAGGCTGCAGGCCAACTTCACTATCCGGGATGATGCCAACCCCAGCTCCCGCCAGCGAGGACTCAAGCGCTTCCAGGCTAATCCCGAGGCCAACTGGGGCCCCCGGCCCCGTGCCCGGCCAGGGTGAGTGAGAATACGGTGGCGGTGGGGCTTGGCCAGGGCAAGGGGACACAAAGGCCAGACGGGGTCCCAGCTACTCCCTCTCCCTGCACAGGGGCAAGGCTGCAGGTGAAGCTATGGAGGAGAGACGCAGGCTGCACCAGAATAAGAGAAAGGAGCCCGCGGAAGACCCAGTCCAGCGGGCTGCCCGGCTCAAGACGTTTCCCTGTAAAAGATTCAAGGAGGTAAGGCACCCTCAGCTGGCCCTGCAGCACCCGGGGATCCCCCTCCCAGCAACAGGATACGGCCAAGGGCCAATCAGGGCCGGGACACCTGGGGCAGGCAAGGGGTAGGAGTGAGCTCCCCATCCAGGAAAAGGACCCAGCAGAGGCTGCTGAGCTCTGGGCCAGGGTTCACACCCCCCATCCTCCCACCAGGGCACCTGTCAGCGCGGGGACGAGTGCTGCTACTCCCACAGCTCCCCAACACCCGAGGACGCTGCTGAAGCCACCCCCAGTGACGGTCCCAAGACCCCTTACCAGAACCCACCAGGGCCAGGCGTCGCCACTGGTCCCGGAGTAGACTGAGCCAATAAAGAGATGTCATCTCTTCGACAGTCTTGTCTGAATGAGAATGCTGCCTGTCGTCTGTCTGTCCATCTGCCTTAAGGGCTCTGTCTGCCTCTCCAGCGGCCTGTCTGCAGTCTCTTCCTCCCTGGGGGAGCTCTGTGGTTCTGGAAGCCTGTCTGTCCCTTGCTGACTGAAGTGTGGTCAGTGTTTCTGCCTGGTATGTTCTGTCGCCGGGTGGGGGTGGAAGCTGACCCTCTCTGGCTGCGCGGTGGTCTGTCCCCTTGCAGCTCGGGGCGCTGCCCCCCCGCCCCCCCGCTGCGGGTGCCTGCAGTTCCCGGCGCGACCACGGGGCGGCGGCCGTGTGCTCGTGCCCGCGGGGCCTTAACCCCTTCCCCCGCCCCAAAGCGCACACCCACACCCCCTGTCAGCGTGCGCGCCGTCGCAGACGGGCTCCCCAGTCACCCAACCCCTACCCGGCCTCGCGTCGCCGCCTGGGTTCCCTGGCCGAGCTCCCTGCGGGGCCTCGGTGGCGGAAGCCGGGCCGGAACCAGGCGCCTGGTGCATCCGCTCCAGACCAGGTGCTTCCTGCTCCGCGGCCCCTCCGGCGAGCGCACTGAGGCGCTGGCGGGCCTGCGCTTCCCCTCCCCCCCAGGACGGAGGCTGAGCGACGTTAACGGAGAGGGCTAGCGTCCCCACCCCCACCCCCCAACACCTTTCTCCGCTGCATCCCCACCTGTGAAATGAACCTAATCCGAGAACCTAGCTTGTAGGGAACATCAGGTAACTGATGTGCTGCGAGCCAAACCCCTGCTTCCCTGGGGCAGTGGGACGGCTGGTGGTCGGCTGCTCCTGGGCTGTCCTGGGCTTCACCGGAGTCCTGGGAGGCGGTGGCTCCTGCTGTCCCCAGATAGATACACCCGAGGCAAAGCGCGACTGACCCAGGTGGGAGGGCACTAGAGAAAGGTAGAGTCTGGTCCCTGCTACCAAGCTCTTCCTGCGGCCCCTCTCTTGTGAGGCTCTGGCTTGGGGCTGAGCGCCACCAGCACCCCAGACACTTGCCCAACACCTCTTTATCACCATGGTCCCCTCCACCCCCAAAGTGGCCTGTGATGTGGGATGAGGGCCAGAGACCACCAAGTTGGGGCTGTGTGGTCCTGTGGCCTAGAGGATCCACATCCTGGGGACAGGAGGGGAGCACCTATTGTAAGGTGCTGCTAGCCCTGGCACCCTGGGAGCCCCTCCCAGTTGTGGCACTAGCTCTCATCCTCCATCCTGGGCCTGAAAAGGTGGTAGGGACAGCAGGCCCAGGGGGGCCCAGGACGCTGGCCCAGGCTGGACACCTAAGGGCTGCCTGTAAGAATGGCCTTCCCTCCAGGGCCTCAGCCTGGGGTGGGGGTGGTGCAGAGCCCCAGAGGGAGGGGTGGTGTAAAAAGAGGAACCAAACTGGGTGAAGAGAGGAGGAGCAGGAGGGGGCCCCGGGTCACGAGGCCCCAGCACTGCGAGGCCCCAGCACTGCCGGAAAGGACTCTCCACCCCCATCAGCGCCGACACTTGGGAAGGGGGGTGTTCAAAGCCAGAGGTGAAACCCAAGCGATGCGGGAAGCTGCTGCTTCCCTGCCTCAGTTTCCCCTCTGCGTGCATCCGGGTCCGTCACTCCCAGCCGTGCATTGGTCGGGGGTTCTCCGAGGCCCGGGGCCACTCCAGCGCCTGGGGAGACCGAAGGTGAGGCCCTGAGGGGTGAAGGCTCGGTCCGTCGCCGGCCGGGGGCGGGGCCGCGGGGCCCGCGCTCACAGATCCCCGCCCGCCGGTTTCCTCCGGGGTCAGCCCGGCTCCTTATCAGGCGCGGCCAGTCGGCCAGGCCCTTATCTGTGCCGGTCCAGCATCCTCCGGCGCGGCCGGGGGTGAGAGGGAGGAAACTGGGCCGCCGGGGGCGGGGAGAGGGCGGGCCGGCCAGGAGCAGCTCACTTTCCCTCGAGGGATCCACGCCGCCGTCGCCGCGGCCTTTGGGAGCCCGGGAAGAGGCGCGGCCCCGACGCTGCTGCCGGGAGGGGGCGGCAAGCTCCCGGCGGCCCCGACCGCCGCCGAGGCCGCATCCGATTGGGGCCACGGAACCCGGCCTGGAGCCCTGAAGGACAGAGCCAGGGCACTCACCGGACAGCGGACAGACAGCAGGACCAGCGCCGGGGTAAGAGGGGAGTTGCCTGAAGGTGGGGGATCCTGGGAAGACCTACATTCATTCATTTGTTCATTCATTCATTCATTCATCAGGGGGTACCCACTAAGGGAGAGTCCAGGCCAGCTTCTCCAGGGCCTAAGTAGGGATGACAGGGCAGAGAGGCTTGCTGGGACACTGCAAGCCATGGAGCCAAACCGTCTAAGTAGAGATGCAAAGGAGTGGATGTGATGCGGGTAGGAAATGGGGTGTGGGGGACACCAGGGAGGGCCAGAGAAGAATTGGGACATGACTATGTACTGATCAGTGGGGTCAGGGTTTGGGGATCCTGGATTGGCATTTTTTATCATGGTGTCGGCAGTGGGGTTACAGGGTTCATAAGGGGGTGGGAGTCAATGGAGCGATAATGGAGGACTTTCAGGGTGTGACATGGGCAATGAGAAGAGAGCCCCAGGGTCATAGCTGAGGGCCCACATGGTCAGCTGGGGGAGGAATCAGTGAAGGGTCAGAGTCAATTGTAGTCAATTGTAGAGGAACTCTAAGGTCACATGGTATCAATAAGGGGGTGTCTCAGGATCAGATCTGAGAATTACAGGGTCATCCTGGGGGCAATGGGATCCTTCATGGGTTCCTTCCTTCCCCCTCTCTCCAGGCTCCAGGTGAGAAGGGATTCTGTAATAAAGGAAATTTTCTCAGAAGCTGGGCAACTGAGGCCCCTCGTGAATCACAAACAGCTCAGTGCTGCCAAGACTCACTGGGTACCTCCTGCCCTTGTGCAGATTCCCCTCGCGTGTCCTGGTGGTTTCTGAGTCCACCTGCCTTTGCCCACCACCCCACCATCTCCCCACCCTTTCCATCATCTGAGGGTGGTGTTGGGCTAAGGGATGTGCATGGCATCTGATTTCTCCCTCCCCACTGGCTTCCTTCCCTCCCACAGGTGAGCACCCCCTTGGGGTCCATGTGCCCGCCCCAGGCCCAGGCAGAGGTGGGCCCCACCATGACTGAGAAGGCTGAAATGGTGTGTGCCCCCAGCCCAGTGCCTGCTCTGCCCCCCAAGCCCGCCTCGCCTGGGCCCCCGAAAGTGAAGGAGGTTGGCCACCAAAGCTCCTCACCCCCCAGGCTGCCTCCTGGCGTGCCAGTGATCAGCCTGGGCCACACCAGGCCCCCAGGGGCAGCCGTGGCCACCACGGAGCTGAGTGCCCTGCGGCCCCCGCTGCTGCAGCTCTCTACCCTGGGAACCGCCCCACCACCCCTGGCCCTGCATTATCACCCTCACCCTTTCCTCAACAGGTCAGTGGGGAGCTGGGGCCTGGGGGGAATCCAGGGCCGGGGTCCTTGCCCACAAGGCGTTAGTGACCCACGACCCCTTACAGCCTCTACATTGGGCCAGCAGGACCTTTTGGCATCTTCCCTAGCAGCCGGCTGAAGCGGAGACCGAGCCACTGTGAGCTGGAGCTGGCCGAGGGTGAGTATGGGTTGGTGTGTGCATAGCCATCTCTGCTGGGACTCACGTCTGCACAGGAAAAGGTGCTACAGGTGCACACAGACATATACAGGACAGCCCCCACAGGGACTCAGTACTCAGGTTATACCCCTGTGCAAAACCACAGACCCCTGGCCAGGCCCACATGACCACAGCCACCCAACAAGCCACAAAGAGTTCACGGCAAATGTACCATGGCGTGGGGGCCACAAAATGACAGCTCCAATAGAATGCACAGACGTGCAGGAAACAGGACAACAACCACACAAGAGACAGCCACACAACCACAGCTACTTAGGACCACGGCCACACAAGAGTCAGCCACAGAACCACAGCCACACAACCACAACCACCTGGCAACGATTGTACACAACCACAGCCATTTAACTATGCCAGAGTTCACCCAAGACACAGACGGGGGACCGCGGTTGCACCTACGGAACCTCTCAGACCCACGTGCATCTCCAGGCACATTCAGGGGCACACTCAGAATGAGGACCATGGGACAGCTCCCCAGACTGACGGCCACGGGAAACATTTCCCTAGGCATCTCAGCCACTGACAGAAAGGTGTGGGCAGAGATACAGAAGATCCCGGTTGTCTGCAGCCTTGGCCTGTGATGGTCCTTGTCGAAGGGGGAGGGAGCGGGGAAGCCGGTTGCTAACAAGCAGCGAGGGACCTACACATGGATCCTACTTGTGGATCGCTGGGGTGTGGGGGGAGAAAGCCCCAGCCCACCGCCTGTGTGGAAGCGCCCACCAGGGTCCCGGGTGCCCGAAGCAGGGCAGGAGGGGGCGCCCCCTGGGCCCCGGCGCCAACCCGACCCCTCCTGTTCTCCTGTTCGCAGGGCACCAGCCCCAGAAGGTGGCCCGGCGTGTATTCACCAACAGCCGGGAGCGCTGGCGGCAGCAGAACGTGAATGGTGCCTTCGCAGAGCTCAGGAAGCTGCTGCCAACGCACCCGCCCGACCGGAAGCTGAGCAAGAACGAGGTGCTCCGCTTGGCCATGAAATACATTGGCTTCCTGGTGCGGCTGCTGCGCGACCAGGCGGCAGCTCTGGCCGCAGGCCCCGCCCCGCCCGGGCCCCGCAAACGGCCGGCGCACCGGCCGGCGCACCGAGCCGCACACGACGGCGCCCGCCGCGGGCCTTGTCGCAGGGCCGAGGCCGCGGTGCGCTCGCAGCCCGCGCCCCCGGCCGGCCCCGACGGCAGCCCCGACGGGGCGGCCCGGCCCATCAAGACGGAACGAGCGGCCGTGAGCCCTGAGGTGCGGTGACCTCCGCGGCGTTGCCTCTGAGCCGAGGGACACCGGGAACTCCGCCCAGGGCGGTCGGGGAAAGGGCAGCCGATGCCCTGCGCCTGCTCTGGAGCGAACTGCCCCGAAGAGGGACCAGTGAGGACGTCCCCAACGGGGAGAAAGGCCCCGGGGTCCGGAAGGGCGGCTGTCGCCCCCAGGGGTCTTGCAGACCTTTATATCTATATCACCCGGCACCCCCTGGAAATGGCCTTTCCCGCATCTCCCTCCCGGGGCCGGGGGCCGGGGACCAACATGGCAGCCTGGTCATCGGACTAACGTGGTGCCTCTTTTTTGCGGGCTGGGGCCAGCGGGAGACGTGGGGAGGGAGCGGGGAGTCTTGGCCCTTCTCAGCGGCGCCCCCTCCTGGAGACCCAGGGATAGACGCTCCTGGACCGCGTCCGCGGCGCGCCAGGGGCGTCGGGAGAGGCGCGGGGTCCCCGCCGCCACTCACCCCACTGATCTCGAACCGGTCCCGCACGACGGCGTTAGCGAAGGCTCGGGCGCTCTTACTTTTGTTTTTCTTTATTTCTTTATTTCACATACACATTAGCCATTCAATGGAGAAGCCGGAGAGAGTCAGGCAAAGATGGTATAACAGAAGCGCAGTGACGGGGGCGGGGCGGGGCGGGGCGGGGCGGAGAGGGAACATACGGGCTGGCTGCCTACTTGCATTCCGCTAGGACACTGAAAACCCAGAAAACAAAACAGACAGTAAACTACCCTTGTTTCTTATGTATCTCAGTGCAGAGACGGGGGTGGAGGGCAGAGAGAGGGGGAGACCAGGCTGAAGGAGGAGGAGCGGAGGGACAGGGGACGCTAAGGGGGAAGCACACCAAATCCATTAGTACTATATATAGAGATACTCGTATATACTGCGTTTCTTAGCCTAAGAAGAAACTTGTTTGACGGGACGGGCGGCCTTTGCGGTCCGCGATGCTGGTGCTGGTCGGGCGCACGGATCTCCCGGGAGGGGCCGAAGCGGGGCTGGCCCAGGCTGGCTTGGGGGGAGGGGGGCGCCCCGAGGGTGGGTGGGTGGGGGGAGCAGAGGCGGGGCTGGGGTGCCCCTCGGGCTCTCGATTGGGGGACGAAATTTCTCGTGACTTTATTGCTCCTTTATTTTCTCTCGTGTGGGGGGTCCGTTCAGCACGGTCGGGGGGAGGAAATGGTGGGTCGTCTGAGCCACCCGGCCCCTCTGGGACCCAGAGCGCGGCGTCCGCTCCGCCAGCACGGGGGTGAGAACAAGGCACTAGGTCGGCCGGCCAGCGCGGGGGCGGGTGTGTAAGGCAGTCGACGGGGCTGGTTGCGGGGGAGGGGGGGGCTGTGTGCGGGGCCGTGTGCGTGCGTGCGTGCGGGCGCGGGCCTGGGCGAATCGACCTGTCAGCTTGGCTGGTCCTGTCCTGGAGCTTCGAGCCTTCCTCGTGCTCCCCGGTGGGTGACGGGGGTAGGGGTAGGGGTGGGAGGAGTGATGTTGAGTCGGGGGCGCTGGGGAAAAGAGGGGGGGTAACTACCAACTTGCTGAGCGCGCTCCTGATAATGCTGGTGAGGGTCAAGTTGGCGTCTGGCTCAAAGAAGGGCGCTCGGGGCGGAGAGGGAGGGAGGGAGGGGACGTTTGTTCGTTGGCATTGACCTCTGCGGGGGAGGGGCTGGGGACCCCCCGCCGCGCCCCCGTGCCCGGACGGGGATGGGGCGAGGAGGGGGCGCTGGGCCCTGGGGAGGGGGCGCCCGGGGAGACCCGCGGCCAGAGCAGCCCAGCCGCCGGGCGTATGCCGCTGTCCCGTTCCGTTAAACTCAACAAAGAAGGGATATGCGTGTTCCTAACAAGTGCAGGATATTTAATTGATTCATAAACTTATGTATAATAGTTTGTGGGTTTTTTTTTAAAACGTACTTTATAATGTAAGAAGCACCAGGGTTTTTATGTTGAATTATCTTAAAAATAATTTTCTCTCGTCCTTTTCCTTTTTGATCTTGTGTTTTTTTTTTTTAATGTCGAGGTGTTTTTTTTTTTTAACTCTAAAATGTGAACGTTTCCTTCAGCCCTCCCACCGAAACCGAGAACGAACGACGAAACAAATAAAAACCCCAGATCATCCTCGTCAACGCAGGAAAACGACTTAAAAAAAAAAAAAAAACTGAAAACGAACAAAAAAAAAAAAAAAAAGGAAAAAACACTCAGCTTTCGTTATCCCCGCGCAGGGCGGGGCAGGCCCAGTTCTTTTAGCGTCCCCAGAGCCGCGAGGACATTACAACAAAAATAGAATTTTTCTTAACAATCTCTTAACATACAAAGATAGGAAAACTCTCTGATGCATTGCACTTGGTTCAATGAAAAAAAAAAAAGTTCATTTCCCCCATATATATTTTTTGTGGGTTTTTTTTCTCTTCTAACACGTCCCCACATCTCCTGTCGCCCTCGTCGCCCCTCGCCTGCCCCTCACAACGACACTTAGGAAAGGAGCGGCCCCCACCCCCCTGCCCGCCCGGGCAGCCCCGCCGGGCGTGCTCCCGCCCCGGCCCAGCTGGCCTGCAGCTTCCGACCTCGCCCGGGCGGGCGCCCCGCAGACCCCGGCTCCCGCGGGCCCACCGCGCCCGCGGCCCCGATTGTCTTCGAGGGAAGGGGCGCGTGCGGCCGGGCAGGGGGTCCCTTCCGCTCCCCTCTCAGCTCTGACCCTGTTTAGCCAACCAAACTGAAAAATCATTGCACTTTGACCGCGCGTCACGCCCGGCCCACCCGGCCCCCCACCCCCCCGCCCTACTCCCCACGCCCCCCCCCAGGCTCCCGCGGGATCCCCTGTCCCCTGCTTCTCAGTCCCGGTCTTCCCCGAGGGCTGCACGCGGTTGGGGGAGGGCCTTCGCTCAACTTCCAACAAAAGCCACTCCTGGGGCCAGCCACCTAGTGGCTTCCAGTTGAGGAGGAGGCACCGATCGCTGGCCCCTTTGGCCCCAGGTAAGGGCCCTCCTCGCCTCCCCAGCCAGCTCCCTCCCCTCCGTCCCTCCCTCCCTGCTGGGGCCACAGCCTCACAAACTAGATTCACAATAAATAAAGCCCACAACCCACCCCTACGGTGCAATGTTGGGTTGACTGACTTTCAGAGGATCCTGACCTGTGCTTTGTGTTTTCATACAGTTAAGAAAGAGAGAGAGAGAGGCACAAGGACTCGAGAAGGGGGCCTAGGAAGGGAGATGCAGGGAGCAGGGAGTAAGGCACAGAAAGACAAGCCAGAGGGGCCAAGTCACACCCCGGAGGGGGGCTGGGCATGCTCTTGCTTCCCTCCCTCCCAGGGGGCTTCGGAAAACCCTCTGGACAGGCCCCCAACCATCCCTTGGGGGGAGGAAGGGGCTGCAGGGGGAGGGAGGAGAGCTACTTCCTGTGGTGTGTTACCAAATTGTTCCCAAGTTGCTCAAATGGAGGAGGAGTTCCCAATTGCAACGGCAAAAGACCCAAACAATGAATGCCCCACCCCTAAATAAAGAGTAAAGACATTACAGCTGAAATCCAGAGAGAAGTGGCCAGGAGGCCCATGTGGTGGAGAAAGTGGGGTTGGGGGGGGGACAGAGAAAGGTCCAAAACACTTTTGAAAAAGGACAACACCCAACACCCTCCAAAGGAACTGAAAGTCGGCGAGCAGGACGCCTACCTAGCGCAGGTGGCAGCTTAGCCAGTGGCAGCGGCGGCTGCCTCGTCCTCCTCGCTCGGCTCCGGGGTCCCCTTTCTGCTCCACTCTCCGGCCCGGCCACAGCAGGGCTGTCTGTGTGAGGGGCAGGGGCAGGGACCGGTGGGGCGGAGCGAGGGCACCTGCATGCGGGGGCTGGGGTGTGGGGGCGACCTGGGGCCCACCTCCCCTCACTTGTGGCTTGGCGAGAGAGTGATTTTCCCAGCCTGCAGAGAAAGGGAAGAGGGGGCCTGTCCCAGGCTGGGACGGGCTGTCGTAGCATTCCGACTTTTTCCTATGGACTGTACAGAGGGGTCTGAGGCCCTGAAACTACCCCAGAAACTCAGGGTGGGGTGACAACACCCTCCATTCCAGGAGCAAGAAACTAGCTCCAGGGGATGCTCCCTGACCCCCAGGGTGGAGGGGGGGCTTCTAGCCCGAAGGTAGGGCAGGGAGATCTGGAAGCCACGGGCCTCACCTAGTCCAGAGCAGCTGGGGGGAAGAAGCCAGAGGCCAAGGCAGTGGGGACTGGGGGGCAGGGGAGGGGAGGAGGGGGAGACAGGCAGGGAGGGGGCGGAGTCTGGAGGGAGAACCCTCTGGATCTGCACCCCATCATTTGTACAAGCTTGTCCTCCGAGCTCCCTAGTGAAGCTTCGGCCCGAGTCGAGGGTGGGGTTCCCCTAGGAAGGGTGAGGGTGTAGGACAGGCCCCTTTAGAACTGTGCTGGTTGCTTTGTCGGGTTGATTTTGTTCCTTCCCCGGAAGGTCGGGGCGGGGTAGGGAGGGGAGAAAGGCAGTTCTGCTGCATCCTTTCTTTCTTTCTGTCCTCTACTTAACAGAGTCCGTTTTGCATGTTTCTTTCTGCTTGGCTGCTGGTGCACAGCTCCACCGAGACCTCTTCTGAGGGCTCTCCGAGAACTGGGCTGCTTCTGGGGGCCTGCAGGGCTCCCCGGGCTGGAGGAGAGAAGGGCTGAGTGGCTGACGACGTTTAATTTTTGCTTTTCGGTGGGGCTGGGCTGGGGGATTTTTCCACGTCTCAAAATTTCTTCTCCCCCCGTTTGAGGAACCTCTTCTTTACATTTTGTCATTTCTTTTGTCGATCTTATCAGAGGAACCAGGACTGAAATGGGACAAAAAGAGGTGGTATTGAGAACAACAGGGGCAAGTCTCTTCTCCATCCCACCTGGCCTGCTGACTGCAGGCCAGTGGCCAAGGCCCCTGGAGGGCCCACCTCCAGCACAGCCAAGGACACCAACACCCCACCAAGAGGTACATCCCCATTCTGTCTGTACCTCTTATGGGAATCTTGCCGCCCCCAAGAGACCCTGCCCCCCAGTGCTAGAGTCCAGCTGGCCTTCCCGTGGGCACTGTGCCCAGCGGGTGGGACCCCCATGGCTGGAGCTGGCACAGGCACAGACCTGGGATCTGGCCATGTTTCCAATTGTTTAGGTTTTTGTATGGGTCCTGGAGGGTGGGGAGGATGCCAGGCTGGAGCTTTTGTCCCCAGAGGGGTTTTGGGAGTGGGGTGGGGGTGGCCCAGCTTCTTGCTGAGTTTTCTTTCTGTCTCTTTGGATTAAAAGCAGAAATTCCCGTCTGTATTCCCCAGCCAAGGTCCCACAGGCTGAAAAGCTGGGGAGGTGGGGGGGGGAGACACACCACATGGCTTCAGTCCCTAGCAGTATGTGGCCTGGGGGAGGGGCCCATAGCCCACATTGCCTGATCCTCTACCCTCAGGGCACCTGGCGTGGGGGCTCCCGGGGGCAGGAGTCACTTCCCTCAGGGTGCCAGCAGGGGGAGCCACGTTCCCACAAACAAGTCTTGGTGGCTGCTCATCACAAAATACAAATACACCTGACCCAGAGGCTGGGCTGCCTGCAAAGCCCTCCATCAGACTCTTGCCCCACCTTGCGGTCAAAGGGCAGCGGGGGAAGGGAGGGAAGGTTGGGAAGGAAGTGTTCTCTATGGTCTACAGTACCTGAGTAGTAGGCCTGGTAGTGCCCTCTGGGGCAAAAAAGGGGTCTGAAAATGTATTTCAGGGTCTCTCCCAGGCTTTGGGTCACAGAGGCCGATCTGCAGAAGCCACGCAGAGCTAACTACAGAGCATGCACTTAGTAGTCTCCCATTCTACCCTTGTTCCAGCCCCAGAGAGAAGCCAAGTGAAGAGAGGGTGGCTGGCCTGCCTGAGGCCACACAGTCTGACGGCATGGCCCAGCCAGGACTCAAACCCAGGGGACAGTTCAGAGTCTGTTCTCTGAACTGCTACATGTGGCCTCTCACTCCGCATTGGAGTGAGGGCCTGGGGCAGCTGGGGCAGCCAGCTTTTCAAAAGGCGCCAAAAGTCCAGACAGAATGGTATGTGAAAGTTGTCAGTGTTTAAAACCACTTGTTTCAGGAACACAGACTATGCCTGTAGGCCGGACCCGTCCCTCTGGCTCTGGTCTGGGACCACAGGCTGTCATCTATTGGGAGATGAAGACATTGAGTTTTAGTGTCACAAAGGACCTGGAAGATCACCTATAACCTTCAACAACGGAAACATTCTCTGCTCTATCCAATGTGGTAGCCACCAGCTGCACGTGGCTTCTAAGCAATTGAAATGTAGCTAGTGTGACTGAGGGACTCAGGTTTTCTCCAGTTATTTAATTTAAACTTCAACAGCTGCATGTAGCCAGCGCCTGCCCCATTGGATGGTGCAGATGGAGGGCATTTAGAACAATGGGGGTTTGGAGTTGCCACCATGGCTGGGGAGCTGCTGGCGTTTATTGGGTGGGTAGAGACACTAAACCTCCTGGACAACATGCAGAGGAGAGCTGCCCTCCTGTGGCGGGGCTCCTGGAGGAACTGCCCAAAGTCCAACCCCATCAACTGACTAAAGGGCAAAGGGAGGCTCATGGGATACTTGGCACCACATGGGGGGGGACCCAGGCCCAAGGCACCCCCTGAGTGGGGCGAAGGCTGAGTCAGCAGCCAGCCCCTGGGCTTCCAGTCCTAGCCTGAGGAGGAGAAAGCTGCCTGGGTGAGCTGAGCCCCTATTACTGCAGTCTCAGGCCTTGGTGTTCTCTGGAACCCCTTTTCCCAAGGGGAGTCTACACAGGAACCCTTCTACCACGGCCATGTGAGCCCTCACCCTCCCTGTGAGGGAAAGGAGGCAGGGAACAACCAGGACCTGGAGGCCTGCTTGGCCCCCTCTGTCTTTGTCAGACTGAGCCAATGCACCAGGCTGGTCCCCTTGGTGTCCCCCAGAGTGGCATGGCAGGGGAACAACCACCAGTCCTCCCCAGGGGAGGAAGACTCAGTTCAAGGCCTGGAGTTAGGGACAAAGGTGGTTCCAGGATAGCTCCCCAGTGTCTCCCCCACAGGTCCCAGGAAAGGGAGGGGCATCTGCTGCCCAACACAAAGTGGCTTTTTCTGCTCACCCTTTCTGCTTCCTGAGCCAGGTCCAAAATTGATTAAAACTAAGTAAAAAGCGCTGCCCAGGGAATGACAAAATTGCTAAAATTCTCTTTTCTTCCCTCATTCTATTGTTCTCTCTCCATCTGGTGCTCCAGAGATCAGCTAAAGTCACTGGTTACTGTGGAAACCGCCCCCCACTGTACCCCCTGCGCCCGCTGCAGCCGCCTGCCTGCCCCCAGGCCCAAGGGCTCTCGGCTGCACTGGGCTTGTCCGGCTACAGTCTCCCTCACCATCACCCCCAGACACACCTGCCTGCTGGGGCTCGGGGCTCAGGCCCCTTGCAAAAACAAGGGGGAGAAAAACCGTTTCCTGAACTTGCCTCCAACTCTGCCTTGGCCCCAAAGTTTAAGCAAAGTGAGCAGAGAAAGTGGAGAAGGGAAAGCACATGGAGGCGAGGCGGAAACAGGGTGAGCGGGGGGAGGACTCATGGCAGTGGTCCCCAAGAGTGAGCAAGCAAGGCAGAGCTATAGGCGGCTGGGGCGGAGGGAGGGAGGGAGGGCGAGAGCCATGGTGCCAGCCCAGAGCCAGAAGGGGAGGCCGCCTGCTGTCCCTTCCTCTGGCACCCCCTCCCGCCCTCTGCCAGCAGGACTCTCTCGGCCTCCCTGGCACAGAGCAGCGGAGGGGGCTGGCTCCAGCCCCTGCTCGGAGCCATTGTTTTTCTTCTCAACACCCCCAAGTTCAAGTTCATCTGGGTGTTACATCATGTCTGGTTGCTCCTGGAAACCAGACGGGTCAGACGTGACTCTGGGGAAAGGGGGTGGGAAGCTGGAGGGGTTGAAGTTCCCCTCCCCTCCCCTCCTTGCCACTAGGGAGCTCTGAAGTTTGAAGTTTGACAAAGTTTTTTGGCTTTTTTTTTTTTTTTTTTTTTTTCTGAGGGAGGGAAAGGAAAAGGGAAAAAAAACAAAACCTCAAACCACACACACAAAACTTCCATCCACCAACTTTCTCTGGACTCGGGCCTCAGAGCAGTAAAGGAGCCTGAGCTGAAAGAGGTGGCCCTGGGGCTCTGGGCTGAGGTGGATTTCCTGGGGCTTCTAGAGCCTCCAGGCCTTGGGCTGAAGGGGTGGTGTTTTTGTAAAATGTGCAAAAGAGAAAGATATTTGCATGTTCTTTTCCGAGAAGCCTGGAGCTATAAAAGTTGCCTCTGCTCTGCTCCTGAGGTGGGTCCTCTCTGCACCCCACAGCCCGGGGCTCTGTGGGCTACTGCCAGCCTCTGGGGGACAGGCACAGGGAGGAGGGGGCCCCCATGCGTGTGTGTGCACAGATGCCTGTACAAAGCCGGATCCAGGGGATTCCAGCAGGAGGGCTGGAGTTTCCCTTGTGCAAACTAGGGACAGGCGAGAGCTGGACTGGAGGTTCCGGCAGCCCAGCCTCCCCTCTAACAGGATTCATGGGGACTTGAGGGAGGGGCCTCCAGGGTGGCAACAGGCCCTGCCCTACCCTGGGTGCCAGAGTCTCTGGGCACACAGCCCACCAGGACGGCCCTGTCCCTCCACCCCTTGCCCAGCCCACCCAAAGCCAAGGAAGAAGGGAGGGCTGGGGGCCAGGGCTTCCAGCTGGAGCGGGAGGAGAGCAACAGGCAGACGCTGTCCTCTTCCTGATGGGGCCTCGGGCTACCACCAGGCCTGGCCCAGAGCGCCTCTAGCCTCAGGTCTTTGGCCGCCTTCCCCAGGGCCGGGGCTGTCAGAGCTAATTATCCAATTAGCTGATTAGCCAGGGGACCTGGGGGCTGCCTGGGGAGGCAGGCTCAGCTGGGCTTGCAAAAGCCTGGCCTCTCCAGCCCTGCCCTAGCCCCTTCTCCCGGATTGGCCCCAAGGAACCAGCCTCTTCCCTAATGCTCACCATGCCCCCGCCCCTGCCTGTCCCCCCATGCCCACATCCTCATCGTGGGTGGGGCCTCCTACCTGAGACTGCTGTGGGATGTTCAGAAAGTTGCCGTCCCGGGGTCCGATGCTGACAAACCGGTTGGCAGAGGAGGCGCCTGTCGTTGCGAATGCTGTGGGGAGCAGGGAAGAGAGGGAGAGACCCCGTGAGGCCTTGGGGCCTGCCCAGACACTGCCCTTCGGGGCTGCTGAGAGAGGGAGAGACTGGATTAGACCATGCTGCCAGGGCTTAGACCATGCTGGCAGTGGGAAGGACAGGCCAGAGGGGTCCCATCATCCTCTCACTGACCGGGAGCACACACTGTCCCCCACCCCTAGCATTCCACCTCAGCCAGGTGTCCTCTTTCCTGGTCCGGGGTGAGGGAGGGGCCCTGGAGGCTTTAGCGGAGGTCCCACAGACCTTGTCATGTCTCCAAGCCAGGCACTGAGCAGGACTGAGGTTAGCTCTCACTGAAGCAAGGCACCCTTGCTTTCCCCCGGACTCTCTTGGGTCTGGAAAGAGGGAGCCTGGGAGGGTGGCAGGGTGGGAGGGTGGGAGCTCTGACGACTGGCCCCACCCTGCTCTGGGAAGGCCAACTGAGCCAGGCCACCTCTCCAACCAGGGCAGCTAGTTGGGTGCTGCATCATTTAAGCACACCAGGCAGTCCCAAGAATGGGGCTAATGGCACAGGGAACCTGAAGGGGCTCAACAGAGGGCGGAGTCGGGTGGGACAGGGCCAGAGAGAGGAGTTGGCTGCCAGCTCTGGCCCCACGGTGGCAAGGCTCAGGCCCAGCAGGCCTTCTCCTCCTCTGATAGATGAGCCAGATCCTGTGGTCCTGCGGTTCCCAGGGCCTGAAATGGGCCAAAGCACAAGAGGAGGAGGAGGAGGCTGGAGGGCCTGGCAGAGTCCTAAGGCTTGGGTGCAGTTGGGAGCAGTTGTTCTAGAGCCTGAGGGGGCAAACAGGCAGCCAAACACCCCTGAGCTCTTCTCAGGTTTTCTGGCTGGAGCCCAATGCGGGGGGAAGGGGTCCTGCACCCCCAACAGGGAGGATGTCCCCAGAAGGGACAAGAGTGTCACAGGCTGCCGGGAATCCCCACACACACACCCACTACCAGACAAACCCCAGGGACTGCGTGCTTGCCAGATTCTGTCCAGGGTGCCCCACAGCCCCCTGCAGCCTGGCACCTCCTCCCCCACCCTGCCCACCTCCAATGACCATGACCATGACTTCGTGTCTTATGGCGGATGCAGATGGGAAGATGGCATGAAGAGGATGGAGGGGAAAAGAACTCAAACTATGAGAAAGAAGGCAACAGAGAGCGCGAGACGGAGAAAAGTGAGATGGGCCGCCCCTCCCACTGCTGGCCAGGAAGTCCTGGCCTGTAGCCTGCCAGCCCCCAGAGCGCCCAAAGCGCTGCCCACCCCCCTGCCCGCAGACGGCACGCCGCCCACCCTCCACCTCTCCTGTCCTTCACACGTCGGGTCTACCTTGGGCCTCTCAACTCAGATTTTTCTTTTCCCTTTGACAAAATTTGTCATTGGTTAAAAGAGAGAGAGAGAGAGACAGAGAGACAGAGAGAAAGAGATGAAGTAAGCCGAGGCCCAGAGCCCTCCCTTGTCCTTGGAACATTCAACCTGGGGAAGGGAGAGGGATGGGAGGAGGAAGGAGAAAAAAAAAAAAAAAGAGGAACAACGAGAAACCAAATGTGATATTGAAGAAGAGGAGGTCAGGGGCCGGCCTTCTGTACAGTTAGAGGCCCAAGGGCCCCGGAATGGAGGTGAGGGGGCAAGGCCAAAAGGGGATGGTGGTGGCGTCGCCTTGTGGTCACATTTAATTTTTTTGGTGTAGCAGGGCACAACGAAACAACAAAAATCAAAAAACAAAAAAACGAAAAATGAAAAAAACAGCAATCAGGCATGAAGATGGCATGGCTGCGCCTCCCCACCCCCCTCCCACCCTGGCCAGCACCCCTGGCCTGCGTGCCCCACTGTGCTCCCCCTCCCGCCCTCGGGAGGGGCCTGGGCCAGGGGCCCCCCGGCTGGGAGCAGCGGGTGGGCAGGGGGCCTCGTGGGGTGCTGGCTGGTGCAATTGAGGCCCAGGAGGCCTCAATTAGGGGGCTCAGCTCTGCTCTTGTCCGGGTGGGAGGCTCCATGGCGCTCTGGGTTGGGGGGCTTTGGCGGTGGGCGGGGCAAGGGTTTTTCTTTTTGCTGTGGAGACTGTTTGGATGGGCCAGGGATGCTGGGCGTTGTGGTTTCGGTTTCATCGTCCACTTACAAGGTGATGGAGGAGTCAAGGCGGCGCCGTCTGGGGCAGTGCTGGTGGATTTGGAATCAGGCATAGGAAGGGGCACAGGTCTGGCCACTGGAGGCGGCGGCGGTAGCAAAAATGACCCCGGGACTTTGCCCTGGCCGCTACCGTTGGGCTGCGAACAACATAAATAGAGTGACGCATGAAGGCACATCACACACAGACACACGCTCCCCTGCGCGGCCACGCCAGCTCGCTCCTGAGAGCGGGCGCTCCCGGTAGAAGATGCAGGATGGGGTCCTCTCCTCCGGGACACAGGGTGGGTGAGGGTGTGAGGCTTCTATTTGGTCTCTCAGGTGTTTCTCTTTTTTTTTTTTTTTTTTTTGGTGGTCCTCTTTTGAAGTTGTGGGAGGGACGAAAGGGGGTGTCCGACGAGTGGTTTGTTATTTCTTAGGTAACATGTTTTAGGTACCAAAACATGCCACCTAGCCATATAAGCAGCTGCACCTAGAGCTCTCATGCTCTTGAAGACCTTCTCCCTCAGCAGGTAAGATGCACCAGCTCACCCCCTACTGTCCCTGGAAAACACACGCATGCCTCCCTCTGTGGGCCCCTGGGGTAGGGCCAGCTGACCCAACCAAGGGCAACAGACCCTTCAGCGTCTATCCCACATCATGGCCTGGGGAGACACCAGGTGCCGGGGGTCTCGCCCTTGGCTCCGGCAGCCTGAGGATCGTAGGGTGCTGGCCAATTCTCTACAGAACAGCCCAAGAGGAAAATCCATCGCTGCTAGTTCCCACGAGGCTCTTCGAGAGGACTTCCCTGTACAGTGCCCTTGGAAGTCTTGGAAGCCTGGGATCAGCTGCCAGATCCATTCCTCGGCTTTATTCCCTCTTATGCCTCAAACTCAAGTTTCCTCCCCAAGCCCCATGCGTGCCTTGTGTGCATCAGCCTTTGGGATTCAGGGAATGTAGGCACCACAGGGAGGGGCAGAGGTCCCTGGCCTCTGGCAGCCATGGCTCTGCTAGAGAGGCCTCCCTGGGGCTCTGAGCACATATCTCCCACTGCTGTGGGCAGTGCCCTCGATGACCACCTACAGCCTGGGCTCAGGGTGAATGGGCCAGAGCTTAGTCCTAAACGGTCCTGTCTCCCGAGGGGCAGAGCTCTGCCACCCAGCCACTCAGGTGCAAGGCTTTGGGAGGCTCCTGTGCTGCTGCTGCTTCTGTTGGTAGGCAAACTCTGCAGAGTCCACCCCCTGATGTCTTCAGTCAGCCCAACTTCTATCCTCACTGGTTCCACCTGGGCTAGGACAATGAGACTCCCAAGGGGTCTCCCCTGTGCTACAGCACATTCCTTAGCTCAGTGTACCAGGTACTTGACTCACGTTGTGTCCAATCCTCCGACTCTATAAAGCAGCAGTTTTCGCTGGTGGTGGGGCTGGTGGGGTGGATTCTGCTCGGGGGCATTAGCAATGTCTGGAGCCATTTTGGGTAGCACCACTTCAGGCGCTGCTGCTGGCATTTGAGGGGTGGAGGCTGGGATGCTGCTACATACCCTGCAACGCATGAGATGGCCCCCAGGAGGAAGGCTCAACAATCCAAAGTTTAATAGCACCGCTGGGAAACCCTGATACAAGGGAAACTCTATTCTCCCCCTTTCACAGCTGGGGAAACTGAGACTCTGTGCAGCTAAGTGATTTATCCAAACTCTCCCAGCTGTAACTGGTGAGGCCTGAAATTCATAACCATGTCTGTCTCACTCTGGGAATCCTGTGGATTTTTTCCAGCAGGCTCAGCCCAACCCTCTTCTCCAAATTCGAAGGTGCTCAGGCTTCTCCCCTCCCCTTCCACAGCTCTGACTGCATGTAACATAAAATACAAGCTTCCCAGTTGGGCTTTCAAGACTCCTCTGGTGGAGCCCAGATGGGGTCTTCCACCACTCATGCCCCTACATTCACCTCCTCCCAAGTACTTCCCACTGCAAACCAACCAGGGTTTCTAGAACACAGCCTAAGCAGTTGGGGCTGCACATGTGCTCACTGCAGAACCCTCTGTCTACAACACCCTTTCCCACACCCTTTAAGTCCTGCTCAGAAAACACCATCCCCAATGTGGAACCAGCCAGATACCCTAAATCACCATCCATCTCTCTCTGCCTTTTTTTTTTTTTCTAGGATGCTCCTAGACTGCCACTGTAGCCTTTGAAACAGGCTGCCTCCGAGGCTCCCCAACAAGCCCAGGGACTGCCACCTTGCTATGGCCAGGCGTGCAGTATTCAAGTCCCACTGACCGAGCTGAACTGACTAGTCCATCCCGCTGTACTTTAAAACCATTGAGCCCTGGGATGTCTGGGTGGCTCAGTGTTTGAGTGTCTGCCTTCAGCTCGGGGTGTGATCCTGGAGTCCCAGGATCAAGTCTCATATCAGGCTCCCTGCATGGAGCCTGCTTTTCTCTCTGCCTATGTCTCTGCCTCTCTCTGTGTCTCTCATGAATTAATAAATAAAATCTTTAAAAAATAAATAAATAAATAAAAATAAAACCATTGAGCCCCATGCCTGACCAGTGCAGGCCACACCCTTCCAAACTCTGGCTGGTCCACCAGAAGGGCCACCACCCTTTACCTCTAAAGACCAGTAGCACCTAGGTGTGACACTGTCCTTCCAAATGGTTCCCTTGACTTGCTCTTTCCTGCCCACTTAGTGGTCCCCTGACAAAAGCAAGCAAGGCCTGCTTATCCCTGTTTGTGTCCTGGGATGGATACCCTTTGTGCCAGGTGTCCCTTTAGAAACAGTCAAAAAACGTTGGCCAGAGGAAAGAGGATTCCAGCTCTGCTGGGGGTGGGGAGGAGAATGCTCTAATGCAAGTGGCAGCTGCCTGCCCCCATGTCTACAGCCTATCTGGTACCTATCTGCCTATCTTGTTCTTCCATCAGGGCAGGAAACAGGACAGTCTCAATCGATCACAGCCTCATTCCTTTACTCCAGGCGATCCTGAGGTTGGGCCTCCCCCAAGGGGCTGAGACACGTGGCCTTCCAGGTAGCCCTTGCTCCCACACAGTGCCCTGTGCCTCCTTCTAGTCCTCAGATCCCGTTTCCCCTCAGGAGGACCTAAATCATTAATCACACTCGATAAAGCCAATCCCAGCCGGACATGGCCAGAGATTGAAAACCACTGGTTTACAACATTTAGTTTCTGGAAGCTACTTCCAACCAGGCTAGGATATCTCAGCTCTGGTTGGGATACAAGTTGAGGTTTTAAAAATCTCAAAGTCTTGTGATTTTGTGGTGCCTTAAAACCTCATTAGTTAAAAGCTAGAAGGAACCTGGAGACTGGGATAGCTCTTCACTTTCATCTGTTAGATGAAGACGCAGGCCTGGCCGCTCCAGCGTTGGTTCTTGAGGCTGAGCTACAACCAGTCTTCCTGCCTCCCGGAGTCATGCTATCCCATCAGGCCCTGTGACTTCTCCTTCATGTTCACTTGGCGGTCTCTTCTCTCTGCCAGAAATACTGCTAACCAGGCATCCTCCTTCTGCCCTTTGCATCTCCTCTGAATGGTGTGTCCATTTGGCCTTAGCCTTTTACTCATTTGGTTCTTCTCAGTTAGGGCCTCATGCTGTGGTCCGAGGATGAGCATAGGAGTGGTGCCTGGGAACCCTTTTGCAAATTGTAAAACTTTTGTATGCATATTTTTTTCTGCAAAGATGATCTGTAACTTCACATTCTCAAAGAGGTTAGGAATTTACTCCTTTAGGCTTTAGATCAATGGTTCTCAAAGTGGGTCACCTGACCAGCATCACCTGGGAATTTAGGGAGAAATGCAGATTCTCGGCCCCACCCCAGGCCTGCTGAATCAGAATCAGGTGAGGCCCAGGCACCTGTGTGTTAGCGAGCCTTTCAGGTGGCTCATGCATGCTAAGACTGAGAACTATTCCTCTGGAGGTAGCCACGGAACCAGAGCAGGTACTGCCACTCCCTGTCACCAGGTCAGCTGCAGGGCCTGGGGCCTCTGGCCTCCCTCCTCCAGAGCCTGCTGCCGAGGCCTAGGGAGCAGGCTCCCTGAAGACATTCCTCCCTCTCTGGGCAACAGGTCACAAGAGGAAACCCAGAGAGACTGCTCCCCAGCCAGCCTAGGCTCTGTTTAATCAGAGTGATTGTTTGCCCTCCTGTCTGCAGTATTTTATCCATGGTCTACTCGGAGCAAGCATCTGCCTTCTGGACCAGTTGAGCCCTTAATCTTGGATGGTCAAGTCAAGGAAAAGGCTCAGGACCCAGCCATCATCAGGATGCTTAAGGATAGACTGACACGTACTCTTGAGGGGTCTTTGGGCTAAACTGGTCCCTCAGGCCAATCGCATTTTGGTTCCACACCCCAGCTGCCTCTGTGGGTAAGAAGGCAGGCAAGGTGGAGTTCCTGGACTCTCTGATCCATATTCCAGGACCCCATGACCCTTGGCACTGAGACACAGGCTGGCAGCTCTTGTAGACTCTGCTGGTATCTCTGAAGGAGGCGTAGTAGCTGTAGGGGTCATGGCCACTTCTCCTTCCATGCCCCTAAAAGTGGACAGAGCTTGCCCAGAGAGGTGGGCAAGGCTCTGAGTGTGCTAAGGAGCTACAGAGCCAGCAAGAGAAAATTTCACAGGGAGAACGGGAAAAGGAAATGAGGAAAGCAGAAAGAGGGAGAACAGGAGAGAGGGAAGAGGACTGGTTTCCGGTCTGGACAGCAAGATCAAGGAGGCTGAGCCGTAGCCCTGCCCCAAATCAATACACCAGCACTTAGCAAATGCCCACTCTGCACAGGCCGCCCTGAGGCAGCACTGGACTGAGTGGTCGAGGGCCACCACGGCTCTCCTTGGGCTGCCTCTGTCATGGGCTTCCGAACGCCTTTCCCCACCACGACCTTTTGAGCATCCTCCCCATCTAACCTCTCACAACAAGTTTCCAGGCTGGACCAGCTGCAGGGAGAGGGGCTGGGCCTGCTCAAAGCATACTGTGCTGCTGGGACTCTAGAACCTTCCCAGAGGTCTAGAGACCACTATGTCCCAATCCGGAGTGGTCTCCCAGGGACTAAGAGAGGACCACTGTCCCACTGAAGGGTCACCTCTGGCCCACCATTATCTGGGATAAGCCCTTTGCTGAGTGGCCTGTGTTTCTGCTCATCAGTGACTGGGCCCTAGGGCTTGCTGACGGAGCAGGGTCATGGGGTGGCAGAGCTCCATGGGCAACCAGTGTCTCTCTTAGGCTAAGGAGCAGAAGGGCTTTGCTCCAGAATAATAACTGACCTGGGAACCTCTTGCTAAGGGTTCTGCCAACAGGAGACTCCATGATAGCTCCTGTGAAAGGAGGGCCTTCCTCTACCCACAGCTTCTCACCAGGAAATGATGGTGCCCGCAGAGCACATTAAAATCTGGAAACATTCTGGATCATTAGGACTGGGAGGGGGTGATGCAGCTGACATTGAGTGGGTTGGGGCCACGGATGCTGCTCCGTACCCCACAGCGCACAGGTTGGCCCCATAGAACAGAGAATGAACAGCCCAAATGTCAATAGTGCCTAGGTTGGGAAACCTTGGTCTAGAACCTACCAAATCCTTGTAGCCCTGAGGTTTTAAGAGGGGTGTTAAGAGGTAAGGAGCCTGGGCTGGGTTGGATAGATCACAAATACACTCTTACTGGGGTAAGAGAGACCGGGGGGAGGAGGGCAAGGAGCCCTCAGAACAAGGTGGGCCCAGACACTGCCTCCCCCAATTCTGGATGGTGAGAGACAGGCCCTGGCATTACACACGGACCCCTACCCCCAGATCCAGAAGATCGAGGTATTTGGCACTACTAGCTCTCTGCTTTTCCAGCCCTAGGAGGGCTCCTGGCTTTTGGACCCTCTCCCTGTGAGCCCCGAGACAGACGGACAGATGCAGAGATGAGCTGTGGTAGGGCTCCTGGGGCCTCTGGACTCACCTGTCCGGTGGCCTGGCCCGAGCCGTCCGAGCACACGAACTGCACAAACTCCTTCAGCGAGTCCTGCCCGTGGTGGTGGTGGTAGCGGATGGTCGGGTGCGTGAAGTACGGGCTCGACTGCTGGATGATGGATGTGGAGGGAAAGTGCAGCGCTGATGCTGTGGCCCGAGGGCTTCCTGCATGCACGCCGGCAGGAAGAAAAGGGCATCAGGGCTTAGGAGATGGCAGGGGTGCGACAGAAGATGGGGTAGCGGGGGTGGGGTGGGGACGGATTGCTGGTCAGACAAAGCACTGAGGAACTAGAGGAAAAGGGAGAACCTGGTAGGAGCAGGGCCAGGACCAGGGTAAGGAGAGTGAGGTACTGGCCTTTGGTGAGAAAGTTAAGGCAGTGCCAGGTAATTCAGCAATTGAAGTAAATAACATCTTAATGCAATATTTTTAAAACGTCAAACTGGCGGGGTGCCTGGGTGGCTCAGTCGGTTAAGCATCTGATTCTTGATTTCGGCTCAGGTCCTGATTTCAGGATCATGATCTCAGGGTGGTGACATGGAGCCCTGTGCCAGGCTCTGCACTCAGTGGGGAGTCTGCTGGAGATTCTCTCTCCCTCTCCCTCTGCCCCTCCCCGACTATAAAATAAATAAATAAATACTGTTTGTTTTTTTTTTTTTAAATCTTTTTTTAAGATTTATTTATTTATTTTTATTTATGACAGACAGAGAGAGAGAGAGAAAGAGGCAGAGACACAGGAGGAGGGAGAAGCAGGCTCCATGCCGGGAGCCCGACGTGGGATTCGATCCCGGGACTCCAGGATCGCGCCCTGGGCCAAAGGCAGGCGCCAAACCGCTGCGCCACCCAGGGATCCCTGTTTTTTTTTTTTTTTTTTAAACAAAAAGTCAAATTGGCAAACTAGGGCTTGTCAGCCAGCTGCTTGTCTTTGTAATGAAGTCTGATTAGAGGGCAGCCCAGGTGGCTCAGCAGTTTAGCACCGCCTTCACCCCAGGGCCTGGTCCTAGAGACCCAGGATCGAGTCCCACATCAAGCTCCCTGCATGGAGCCTGCTTCTCCCTCTGCCTGCGTCTCTGCCTCTCTCTCTCTCTCTCTCTCTCTCTACTCTCACATAAATAAATAAATAAATAAATAAATAAATGAATAAATAAATAAATAAATAAAATCTTAAAAAAAAAAGTCCAACTAGAACCAGGGCTAGAGCTAGGGTGACAAGAACAGGTCAAGGGTGCCTGGTTGTGCAAATGCAAGGCCAGTCCCATCTTCGTTTAAAATGTTGGTATCGGGACACAGGGGTGGGTCAGCAGTTAAGTGCCTGCCTTTGACTCAAGTCATGATCCCGGGGTCCTAGGATGGAGTCCTAGGGCTCCCTGCATGGAGCCTGCTTCTCCCTTCACCTCTGTCTCTGCCTCTCTCTCTGTGTGTGTGTCTCTCATGAATAAATAAAAATCTTTTAAAAATATAAATAAATAGGGTAGCCCTGGTGGCACAGCGGTTTAGTGCCGCCTGCAGCCCGGGGTGTCATCCTGGAGACCCGGGATCCAGTCCCACATCAGGCTTCCTGCATGGAGCCTGCTTCTCCCTCTGCCTGTGTCTCTGCCTCTCTCTCGCTCTCTCTGAATGAATAAATAAATAAATAAATCTTAAAAAAAAAAATTTAAAAAAATATAAATAAATAAACAAATAAATCGGTATCTGTTCATCGCTGTTTTTTGGAATCGTTTTAATTGTTTAAAAATATTACTTTAAATATTATTTATCTTGATGACTAAAGTTTTGGTGACTCCTGACACTGCATTGTGGCAAGTGCCTCACTGGCTTTGCCCTGGTCTAGGGCCTAGGGGGAGTCTAGGGGAGGGACAGAGGAGGCCAACAACTCCTAGGCTCTGGTTAAGGACAGGGCCCCTTGCCCATGCAGGCCCAGCCCTCAAAATGCATACACCCAACTCCTGTGTGCACATGACTGTGCCTCTGGCTGCTGCTGCCCAGGCCACATCCCTGCGTGCTTGGCCCCACAGTCCTTGCACACGCATCCTCCCCACATACAGCTCCCACCCCAGCACAGGCCCCAGCTCTTCTCTGGGCTGAGTCCTCCCCCTCCGGTCTGTTTCCAATCAGCTCGCTCTTGCTCTCAGTTTCATTAAGGGGCTGAGGAAACTTGGCTTCTCTCTGGAGTTCATAAAAGCTGAGCCGAGCTGGGCCTGCCGCCCTCCCGCTGCCTACACAGAGGGCCTCGGGTCCCCGCCCCCACCTTGTGGCCACCACACCCTGCCCCAGCACAGGCTGCCTCTGGGCTCTCAGCCAGGAGGCCCCGAGGAGGAAGCCGGGAGGGTAAACCTCACTCTTCTCCGTGTCCTACAGAAGGGCCCACAAGACGGCAGGCAGGCAGACACAGGGCAGTGTCCAGAAAAAAGCCCAGGCCCCTTTCTGCCAGAAGGGTACCAACAGAGGGAAAAAGCAAACAAGGGAGCGGGGAGGCTAAGGACTCAGCTCCCACAATTTCCTGCCTGATTCCATCCCTTCAAGAATGCTGAGATGTTCCGACACCGCCCCCACACCACCCCCGCCCCCACCAAGCACCCATCAAGCAAGAGAGCCTCCCAAGGCAAAGGGCTTGCTCCTTTCCCTGGAGAACAACCCAGGAGCTACCAGCCACTGGGCCTACCCCTTCACTTTCGGAAAAGGGCAGGGAAGGCCTGAGAAGGGAGCCTGGGCTCCCCTGAGTCCTCTTGTGGATCTGTGCCCCACACCAACCTGAGTTGGTGCTGGGAAACAAGACCCTGGGCTCAGCCAGGAGCTAGAAGAGAAGAGGTGAAAGGAGGACAGAATAAGCTGTGCTTTCCCGCCCACAACTGGCAGGAGGAAAGCAGAGCGGGTAGGAATGGGTCTGAGGCCTCTGCAGCTAAAGGCAGGTTGGAGAGGGCCTCAGGACAGGCCTGTGCTGCACAGCACACACACGTGCACACACATGCACACACACATGTACAAATGCACACACGTGCACATGGGGAGTGAGGAGCAAGTGGGAGGTTGCTTGGGAACAAGGTGAGGAGGTGCTGCCCTGGAGGGAGAGCCCAGTCCTGTGCCCGCCCTCCACCAGACCAGACTAGACCGGGGACTTTTCAGAGAGCTTGGGGCTGTGACTCAGGGGCTGTGGCCCTAGCTCCTGCACCTGGCCAGCTGCCCCTATGTGCTCCACCGCCCACCCCACTGCCCCCCCAGGCTCCCCATTTCTCACCTGGTCTGACTCCAGCAAGCACAGGCAGCGGGTGGTGAGTGAAAGCCATGCGCGGGGAGCTGCCCTGAGAGGAGAGGGCACTGCAGAAGTCCAGCTTTCCTGACTTCTTTAGAGAAGCCGGGCCTGGGGGGAGGAACCAGCAACACAGGGCAGGTTTAGCTGGGCTGGGGCAAGAGCAAGGGAAGGTGGGAAGCCAGCAGCTAGCTCCTTCTCTCCTCGGCCCCCTCACGGCTACCCCTGCCCCCACACACACCCCTTTCCTGTTTCCTTTGCCCCATTCCGACTCTGTTTCTCCAGCCTGGTATGCTGACTGGCCAGCTACGGGTGCTCTGATCAGAGAGGAACATGAAACCCTTGGGTGTGCTGGGTAGGAGATGAGCAAGGAAGGGGGCCCATCTTGCTCCCTGATGAGCAGATTAGGAGCTCATAGGAGCTCACATGGCACAGGATGAAACGGTGGGATGCAGGGGCAGGAGGGTGGGGAAGGTGTGCAGGAGGAGAACTGGGGAGCCAGCTTCAGAATGAGGGAGGACCCGGAAGAGGGATGGGCTGGGGTCTGCTCTGTGGGGCCCTGGACTAGGGGAAGCTCTGGTAGAGAGAATCCACTGGTCCTCGGGAGGGACTGAAGGGGTAATCCAACACCAGACAAGAGAGTAGAGAAGGGGCTGGAGGACCTGGGTGGGTACTCGGGACAGAGTTGGACAGGAAAGGACTCCCCTGTCAGGGGATCCAGAGGCTGGGCAGCTGTAGGATGGGTCATTTGGGAGCTTTGCCCTGCTCCTGGTGCCAGAAATGGGGTGGCATTCAGTGGGAGACAGGATGCACAGAGAACACCCCACTGGAGCTCTGCCAACTAAGGCCATCTTTGTGCCCCATGGGCATGATATCTAAATGATGCTATGACACAGCAAGAACCTTGGGCGAGGTCCTCCAGGGGCTTGTCTCCTGTCCTGCGGTGAGCCTGGAGGCTGTGCCCAGGCTGGGAGGGGTAAGATGGAGTGGAGCAGATCAGCAGAGCTGCCATCTTTGAGGCACAGAATCCGTTTGACTGGGGGGTAGGGGGGCTGCAGTCTTAACCGCAGAGGGAAGAGGTGGGGGAAGGGCGAACTCTCAGCTGCCAGCAGAGGTGTTATCTGGCAGCAGCTGTGTGCCACCTGATAGCTGGCACGGTGAGGGGGTGGGGAGCACCCCCACCAGCTGTGCACAGCTGTCCCCATGGCCGCACAGCGCCTCCCCAGCTGTTCCCTGTCCTGCAGCTGGGCTGCTTAATTGGCGATTTGTCGCAGCACAGGGAAACAACGCCGTGGGGGGGGGATACAGAGGAAAAGAGGGAAAAGCAAGGGAGCTAGGGGTGCTGCAGGAGGGTACTGGGGGCCGTGCATGGCAGGACAGCTGGAAGTAGCAGAAATGGCAGGCACCAAAGCAGACAGTAGAGAAAAAAGAGTGGGAGCCAAGGAAGGGACAGTTCCTTGGGCACCAGGTCTGGGCAGAGGGACTTGGGGGCTGAGCAGCAGGAGACAGCTAGGGATGTGGCTCTCAAGGCACTTGAGTCCTTCAGGGGCAGTCACTTGACTGAGGCCCTGGTTGGGGAGGCTTCAGGACCTTTTCAACCTCTTCTCTCTCTCCCAGGGAAGAATCTGGGCTGTGTTGACCCCAGGTCCCTGCTTGCCACAAGGAAACACTGGGAAAGGCACCCAAAGACTTTCAGGATAGCTGTCCCACAGACGTGAGCTTCACTCCTGGTCTGGAACCCACTCCCTCAGCCCCAGGTCTGGAGGAGAGCCCTCCTCCTCTCTACCTCCTCTCCTCCCAGGGAGCTGAGAGAGGGGAGCCTGTGCAGCCTATGTCTGGGCAGCAGGAAAGCAGGAGTACTTCCCCACCCTTCTGCCTTGCTTTTCCCCCAGCCCCTGTCTGGGACCATCCACCTGGCCCATCTCTGTAGAAGTGCATCTGGAAAACACCAGGGAAAGCAACATTGGGTCAGGCCTTCCTCTTCTTGCTTCAGGGGCAAAGCCCCTGTCCCCAGGCCTGACCAGAGCAGACATGCCCCGCGTACAACCCCCCCCACACACACAGGTCTGTATCCTGGGTCCAAGAAACTCACACCTCAAGAATACACACAGATTGTACCACCAGTATGTCAGGCAGAAGTATTCTGCAGCCAGCCTCCTCGTACAGGTATATGTGCATGTGCACACACACACACACACACACACACACATGAGTACACACACACACACGTACTCTCCCTCCTTTCCATCTGTGTTCTCTGGGTCTGCTCATGTCTCCAGCCAAGACTGGAAATGAAGGAGGGCGGGTTCACCAAGAAAGGGGTGGTTGGAGAGTATTGAGAGGACTGAGCAGGCTTCCCTTAGACCCTCACCCTTCCTTAGCTTTCCTGCTTGATTTGAAAATGATTCTGGTCATTCTTTACTAGGCTCTGCTCCTCTCTGTGATCCTGGGCCCTTCAGATCAGTGGTTTCTAACTCAGGACAATTCTGTTCTCCTCTTCCCTATGCCAGGGGATATTCAGCAATGTCCAGAGATGTTTGGGTCATTATACTCTGGAGAGGAGAGGGGGCTTGCTACTAGTTGGTGGGTGGAGGCCACGGCTGCTGCTCAATGCCCTACAGTGCATAGGATGACCCCACCACAGAGAATGATATGGCCCCAATGTCCATGGTGCCCAGGATTGAGGAACTGCTTTAAACCATGAGGACCACATTGCTGGGGCAACGTCTCCAGAGAAACAGCAAGAGAAGGAGACCATGCAAGCTTGGTGCCCAGGGCCTCTGCTTTCCTTCCACCACACCCATGGGCTCTGCTGCCCACATAGGGACAGCCCAGCTCCTTGTCTCTGCTCTCTCCTTCAGCCTGGTCTGCCCTCCTCTGGAAGATCAGGAGGCAAGAAGACAGGTAGTCCACCCACAGCAGGGGAACCAGAAGAAGCTTGTTAGGTAAGCTGAGGGGGATGAAGAGGCTCTGGATGCCCTGCTTTGGGTTGGTTCTACAGCACCCATACCTGCATCCACATCGTTGGGCCACCCACTGGACTGGCTGCTGCCAGCTGCTGGGGAGCGGCCTGTACCAGGATAGAAGACATCATCGACAGGGCTCTCCATCTCGCTGTCATCGATGGACTTGGGGCGCTTGGTGGTGCTGGGGAAGAGGAGAGGGATCAGGTAGGCCAAGGGCAGACTGAGGTATAGGTACTCGAACTGAGGGAGCCTACACTGATGACCCATCATGTGGGGAGCAGGGTCCTGATGACAGCAGCACTTCCAGGCACTCACTACATGCCTACCCCTGAGACTAGACTGGTCCCGGGGTCCCTCGGGGCCCAGCCCTTCTGCTCCTACTTCTTGAGCCCCTTCTCAGTCTGTGATACCCTCATCGACTGCCCATGTCAAAGAGGAGGAAAAGCCTCTTTAACTGCTTCCCTGGCCCCACCTTCTATTTCCCATCAGGCTCTAGGGCCAGGGCAAGTCGAAAGGCATTTGCCTGGGACAAAAATCCCAAGGGAGCTACAAAACTCAGACATCAAGGTACTATGTTATTTTATATTAAAATAGTATTGATGTGAAGCTATTAGAGTATTAGAGTGCAATATTTTAACAAATCAAGATGAATGCCAAAAACCTCAAAATGAACCAAATATTCAAGTTCCTTTAAAAAAAAAAAAAAAAAAGCACAGGATTCCTTCCTGCCCTGAACAAATGGCTCTGACAAGGCCTGAATGTGTCCACCTCCCAAACACCTCTCAACTCTATCCCTCCCTCTCAGGCTGCTGCTCCACCCAGCTGAGGTCCTCCTCTACTCTAGCCTGCTAGGAGGGCCTCTACCTGGCTGTCAGTCCTGCCCACACATGCTGCTGCCAGGGGCACTTTCTGGAACACATATCCCTAGCATCTCCTACTTAAAACCCTTCCATGGGTTTTAATTCTAAACATCTTCCGCTGGCCTCCAAAGCCCTCTTTGGGGGTCCCACCAGGATGTCTTTCCTCGGCTGGGATGGAGGCTTCTGTACTTGGAGCATCCACCCCATGCCTGTACCAGCAGCCCCTTCCATCCCACCTTACACCTGGGCTCAAATGTCTCTTCCCCAAGAGAAAGGCCTTCTCAGATCTCCACTGGGAGTGCTTTCCAGGCAGAGCTGTGCCTTGTTCAGGTTTACGTCCCCAGTACCAAAAGCTCAGCGATGTCTGGTAGCATGGTGGGCCCTGGCTGCTCTGGAGCCAACACCTTCAACAAGCGGTGACCTTTGAAGGCACCCAGGCCTTGGAGGTATAGCTGTCTACAGCACTTGAGATGGCCTGGGTGGGGAGAGGGGGGCGGGCGGACTGCTGGGCTCACCTGGTGGAAGGAGGGGAGGTGATGGACCGCCGCCCCAGGGTCACCTGGTTTATGTTGTAGTAGCTGGGACTCTCCAGGTCTGCCAGTGAGAAGTTGGGCCCTGATGCTGTCGCAACAGGAGCTGGGAAAAGGGAGAAGGTGATAAGGTTTGAGGTGTGGAAGGCCCAGTGGAGCCTGTTTTGTTGTCATGAACAGCTTAACCCCAGAAGCCTCCTCCTAGCTGGGGGGAGGGGGCGAGTCTTTGGAAAACAGCCCTTGGTTGTGATTTTTTTTCCTCCAAAGCAGTAGAGATTAGAGATTGGGCTCTCTGGGCACCTCTGCTCCACTAAGCCCAGTACCAATGGACAGAGTGTCCCAGGAAACCCTGCCTGCCCCTTTGCCAAGACCCCACCAGCAGGGGGCCACATGGGGTCTGAGTCCCACCTCCTTATACCCCCAATCTGCTGAGCTCAACCCGGGCTAGAAGAAAGAACTCACTTACTCTGTGATACTCTCACCAGCTCCGTCACGTTCCAGACCCCGGAAGTCACAAAACAGTCCTGGAAACTTAAGTGCCCTGAGGAGTGGAAAGGACAAGTGAGTGAGTCAGGCAAGGTTAGGAGGGGCTGCCTGCCTGTTTCCCCAAAGCTCTCCCCACTCCTGCTTTGACTCACCCCCTCCCAAACCTCTCGTTCCAGACACAGGCTGGCCCTCAGGGGCCCTCATGTCTATACAAAAGAGTGAGTATGCTTCAGGTAAGCCCCCACTCCTTGGGACATCAGCTTAAGTTCAGTTGAGGAATGGCTGAGCAAAGGGGAAGAAACAGAGGGAGAGGGTAGGCCAGGCTGGCCAGGGAGTAGGAGGGTAGAGGAGAGCGATGGGGAGCAGGGCAGGCCATAAGGCAAGGCAGGGGCCAGTGGGAGTTGAGGGGCACTGACCGTTGGGCAGTGGTTTGATGTCCGCATCTCCTTGCTGGTTTGAACTATCTGATTGTCCGGATTCTGCAGGAGACACAAAGGGGAGAATGGGTCAAGATCAAAGTGTTCCCCACCCACACCAGCCAAGCAGTTGCCCCTCAAGCCCTGTTAACACCTTTACAGCATCCTCTCCTCTGAGGGGAGCAGCCTAGGAGGACCCAAAGAGAGAAAGGAAGTACTATGGACACTGAAGCTAGATCATTCTCCGTGGTGGGATATCCTAGGCCCTGCCGGGTGTTTGGTGGCAGCCCTTGTCTCCACATGCTAGATTCCAGTAGCACCCCAGTGTGACAACCAACACTGTCTCCAGACACTGCCCAGTGTGGCCCAGGAGCAAAGTCACCCTGGGGTGAGCAGCAGTGGTTGAGAATCAGGGCAAGGAGGATGCACAGGAGAGAAGCCAGTGACCACCTCTTTGCACAGCTGGGATGAACCCAAGGGTCCCCCATCCTCCACTCTGCTCAAGCTACCAGAGGAGCAGCCCTTTCCTTCTCTCACTTCATTAATTACAGCCATTCCTGTCAGCCCGAACCACCCCCACCTCACCTTTATGCTTATAGGCAGTGCCTGGCAACACAGAGGGGGGAGGTTTGCCCTAACGCTGTCGCCCGCTCTGTGCCAGCCTGTCTGGGCTGTCTCATGCCCCAGTGCCACAGCTGCTCAGAGGGAGCCCCGAGACAAGGGCCCATTGTGCAGTGGGAGCTCACAGAGGGCCGGGGCAGGGTGGAGTGTGTGTGTGAATATTTTGCTGAGCTTGGGAAAGCCCCCCCCACCCCCGCCCCCCAGGTCCTCAAAGCTTTGTGTGCCAGGGGCACAATGGGGACCTCCAGAATGCCTGCCCAGGCACGACAGCTGGCGAGAGGGTGGCAGAGGGGGGCCAGCGCAGGTTGTGGGGCAGGGGGAAGGCTAGGCATTTGATAAAGAATCAGCTGCTCACAAGGGGACAACATGGGGGGTGGCATCAGAAAACCAGGCCCTGGTATTGGCCAAGGCTTTGCCCAACTCTTTGACCCTGCCTCCTGCGTCTCACCCACCATCCCAAGGTCAAGCCTATTGGCTGGAGAGTCCACCCCTCACTGGCTTCACAGCCAAGTTGTTCACACTGAGGAGTGACCAGCAAGGAAGTTCCTAAAGAAGATAGGGCCCATGAGATGTGGGCCCAAGGGATTGCAGCAAGGTGCCCTGTGGCCACTTGAGCCCCTCAGGAGTGATGGAAGGGTAATGCACAAGGGAGGCCGGTAAGAACAGCATCCCTGGGAGCAAAGGCCCAGGCTTGGCTCAGGCCAAGTTCTTGGGCACCTGCCTCAATGTGACCAGCGGGAAAGGACAAGCTGCCTACAGGACAGTTTCAGTCCCCACTTCCCTCATTCTTTACCTTGCCCCAAAAATAATAAATCTTGTCACAAATCAAGAAAACAGAGGTTTACAAGGCAAGTGCTAATGACAGCCCCTCACTCCCGAAGTATGAGGTGCAGCCTGCCACACCTCCCTTTCTGCTCACCCCTGTGGTGTGTTTAGGGATACTGAATCCTACCCCAGGCCACCCCTTCACTGGTGGCACTCTCTGCTCTGGAGAGACCTATAGGACCTCCTCCCATGCTCCCAGGAGGGCAACCTCTGTGCCGGTGTCTTGTGGATAGGAACTTTGTATCCTCTCGCCCTGGCCTATTCCTGGCTATCTGGGTCTGATTCAACCCCAGGCAGCCGGTGGAGGGGCAGAGGTGATGGGTGGCCTCCTCTAGGACCTCTGCAGAACGCAGGTGCGCTGAGCCTGCTTCCTCTCTGCCGGCTGCCCTCTCCTCCATTCAAAATGTAGAAAGGGCAGAGCCGCAGGCCCAGCATGTGGAGCCCAGTGAGGGTGGCACATGCTCCAGGCTCTGCTGCCCCGGGGCTCCTGCAACTGACCCCACCCATCCTGGGACCAACGCAGTCCCCACCAGGCCTGCAGGTCTGGGTCAGTGCAGCTGGGGGAGCCACAAGAGTCCACCCAGGGGTGTGGTCCCAGGGCCCCCTGGAAACAGCCAGGTGGAGACAGAAAGCTGCGCGCATGCGCATATCCAGCCCAAGGACAGAAAGGCTCAAGAGAACCCGACAAAGAGATGGAGGTGGGCCAGCGACTACGGCAGAGACAAATGGGGCTCCAGGAGAGCGCGATAGACAGGAAATCCTTCTAAACCAGGACACTGTCCCGAAACGTTATTGCTGTTATTACTATTAGCTTGATGTAAAGGAGCAAGCGGGAGCGGGGATCCAGCGCGGGCGAGGCCCGCTGCCACGCGCCTCCAGGCGCTGCTGGCAGCCATCTTAGCCCTTGGCAGCCATCTTAGGCTGGCGGCCCAGCCAGCGTCCCCACAATGCCGCCCCCGCCGGCCCCGGCAGGCTCAGCCCAGCTCAGGACAAAAGGCAGAAACGCTGGAAATCTGGACCCAGGCTCGGAGGCTCAGGAGCCAGCCGGGCAGCAGGGCAGCTTCAGCCAGGGCCCACCGTCCTGCCCTAGCGGCACCCCCTTGCCCCTCGCGGCCAACACCCAGCAGAAGGGTAAGGGAGGGCTAAGGCGGGGGGGGGGGGGGGGGGCTGGGGACACCGTGGTCTGCGCACGGGCAGCTGAAGCCCCCACAGGCCAGACCCAGGCCCAAGCGCTCAACTCGGATCCCTGCTGGAAGGGACAGTAAGGGCCATGATGGGGGCAGGCCCTTGTCCACCCAGTGGGCTTACTGGTGCGCCTTGGACAGACAGGGGACAGGGGCTGGCAGGAACCCATAGAGCAGCTGCTGGGCGATCAGGCCCCTGGGCCCTGGTGGACAGGCTTCTAGGGACAGTGAGGGGACCACGCCTCCCTGCTCACCCTCACCTCCAGAGGTGGGGGCCAGCCTGCCAGCTTTCTTGGGCACTTCGGGGAGCCATGCCCTGAGGTCAGGGCCTACTCTATAGACAGCCCTCTGGGATCAGAAGCTGCACCACAGACTGGCACAACAGGGAGCATAACACCCCAGCATCTTGACTCCTTTCCCTGCTGGGCTCCCTGGGGGAGGGGATAACCCCAGGCCTCAGGACAGACAGGGGGAAGGTCCCTTTATGACACCCCTCCCCATGCCCCGCCTCATGGCTGCTCAGCTTTTATCTGGCAGAATGGGGCTTATCAGAGCCACCAGCTGAACAAACATACAAATCCACGGTTAGTGAGAAAAAACCCTCTGCCTGAACTCTTTATCTCCTGTTCACAGGCCCCACGTACTGCCCCCTGCCAACAGCACAGGAGGAGACCTGACTGCTGCACAGCGGGGGCTCCTCTCTCCACTGCCCCCCTTTCTCCCCTCGCCTCCGACCCAGAACAGGGTGGCTCTCCCCTGGCAGTCCCTGCCGGGCGGGTTTGCATGAGTGAGCTGCTGCCACATGGGAGCCCCCCTCCAGTGTCTGCTTTCTCGCCAGGGATAATGGGCCAGCTGGTGGCCTATGGGCCAGTGGAGAGGCAGGGACAGTGTTGGCGAGCACAAGGCAGACAGGTGCCCAACTCCATCTTTTATCCTCCCCCCTCCACACCTCCCCCCCCCCCTCCCGGCCCCATGCCCCCGAGGCTGTCACTCTGATTCCCCAGCCTGCCAGGGCCACATCCCCTAGAAGCCTCCCCAGCCTCAGCTCTCTTCAGTCTGGTTGCCAGAGTGGTGGGGATCCTAAGTGCACACCCTCAGTTCAGGGCTACCCTAAGGTCAGCAAAGCAACCCTAACACCCCTGCCTGTATCTCTAGCAACTACTGCTGCCTCCACACCCTAGAGACTGGGATGAGACAGAGCAGCAGCAGGCACCACTACCTCCCTTTGCTCTGACATAATTCAACCTTTCTCTCTATCCTGGCCCTGAGGACCAGAGAGCATCTCCCCTGGTTTTAGGGTTCTTTGCAGGAAGCCCATCAAATGTAGCCTCCTAAAAATAGCCCAGCCACTGTGTCTGATGACTGGGATTGATGCCCTGAGCAGACAGGCTTCAGGGTCCCTGAGCCTGGGCCAGGTTTGGGGATGCAGAGAATCTCAGAGCCCATAGTTCATTCTCCGTGCTGCCAGGAGTTAGGCGGGCTCCGGTCACCCCCAGGAGCATGCTTTGCCGACTGCCCTCTGTGTGGGACCTGGGCTACTCATGTGATCCACATCTCCAAGGCAGAGGCCACTTGACAGTAAGGCCCTGACCACTATCGAGGCTTCCAGAAGGGAGTACTACAGAGGGGCAGGTGATGGATCTGGACCCTGTCTCAGCACGGCTTCTGGGTCTAGGGCTACTCCCCATTCATCTGCACACACGTGTCGTCAGTCTCCCCCCTGCATCAATGGTTTGTGGCCTTCTGCAGTACCCAGACCTGGGCCAAGCTCAGCCAACAGTTGGCAGTGTGGGCCCTTCTTCCTTAGGTCCCTCCAGATCCCCTGGAACAGTCACAAAGCCCTCCACCCCCGACTGCCGTTCTCAACCCTGCACAGCTTCTACTTTGTCAGCCCTTGAAGCCCCCCCTACTTGCTTTATTGAGCCCTTCACCTTCCCCTTTGGAATCCTGTTTCTGGTCTCATTTTTCTCTCCTGGCTCCACACTCCTCTCTCTGTCCTTCCTTCTTCACTTTCCCTTTCTCTTGCTCTCTTTCCTCTCCCGACCTTGCCTGTTTCTGTGTGTATGTGTGTCCATCCAGAAAAGCTCTGTCTCTTCATTGGAGCTCTGGAGGGGAAGCTCCAGCTGCCAGGAAGAGCCCAGTGTTGCACACAAACCCCAATTGACAGCATGTTATGTATATGTATATACATTTCCAGTCACAGCCGGGCAGATATTTATGGCTCCCGCTAGGTGAAGGAGGAATTCCTCCTTGCTGCAGGGAACGCGCTGCCTCGGCTCCCACCCGAAACAAACTCTCTCTGTGAAGGGGGCCGCATGTAACTTGCTGGCCAGCTGCCTCCACGTACATCGCTGACAGAGTGAGTTCTTAGGTGGCCAAGAGGGGCGGAAAGACCCAGCTCAGCCACACCCACACATGCATACACACGGCCAA